CATCACGACAAATTCGAGCCGGGCGAGCTTCACAACGAATGTGAATAAATGGGGAGGGTTAATCTCTGGATTTCGGGTGGGTGTGTTCCGCAGATCAACTCGACCGTGAAATTGGGGACCAAAACAGCAGCGCCTATCCGTATACCTCAACTATGTGTGAAACCCACCCCCGGGTATTTACGTTTTACTTGACTCGACTGAACGTTTTTTGGGGGATTGCGTTCATGTAGAAGTGTGTGCAACCATAGAAATGACATTATAACTCCAGAGCCATTTTAGGCAGTTTTTAATCAAGTACAGATCATACCAGTCAGTTGTCGGGCGTTACTGTGCCCTCTCGTGTTAATTCAAACGGAGTCCGACACACGAATTTGTCGACGAGGGCGCAACATGACGTGACAGTTATTTATTTTTTCATTCCATCACGGTTACTAACAAAGACCGTGATTCCATACTCCATAGAAAAAACGTTTCTGTAAGATGTTTATACGAACCCAATTAGGAAAATGATACAATAAGTACAGAAATTAATACAAAGTTAGTGTTTCGTAATGTACAGTTGATTTCATATTGAAATATATATATACATTAAATGTCGTTTCAGAATCTTCAGATTTCATGGGGTCTGTTCTAAATATCAATTGTCTGTGGCTATTGATTGGGTCCCGATTAATTAAACGTAATCGTTATAACAGTATAAGATGCACTATGTCAACTAAACGATTATTTTTGACGAAAGCCGCACTAGTTTCTATTTAATTCAATCATTTACGACACATAAACTACATATAAAGGAACAAACACTGTGACGTCACTGGTAGATGTGTAAGGTGCATTCCTCTGTGTGTTCACCGATCATATTTTATTCTAATTGTATATACTACATTGTAGTACTATAAAACGTATTATCGAACAATTGGAGAACGTCCTTGTCGGCCACCGAGACACCCGCTGGCTAGATATCAGACGTGTTGTTCACTGTACGATTTGCTAAATCACAGTGGCCGTCAGCTCAAACAGTACCAGTTTCACGACGTTTCAAGGTACAGATGATACCGAATGTAGTACACTTTAGTAAGACGAAAACGACACGTACTCAACGCACTTCAGTCGCGTATCATAGGGTGGTACGTAAGAGGTGGCAGCAAGTGCTTCCGTTTCCAATTCCTCTTTTCTTTGTCGAACCGCTTCCACTAATGCATGTATACCATAATAAACAGCCTCATCTTCCAGTTTCTCCAAATCTTTGTATGTCGGCGAAAGCGACAGCACACCCAATTCTAGAAATTCCAAGATTAAATGAAAAAGTTCACTATTTCTTTCGGAAAGTTGAGTCGCGTTATCTCCAGCCGAATCAGCGCTCCGGTCAGTACACTCCAACAAGGCAGCGAGTCGGGTACCTTGACATTTCTCAAGCAGGTTAGCAGAAATTATAAAAACCTTCCCTCCAACCACACAGGAGATTGGTTCTAACATTATTCTGGCTTGTAGAAGTGCTTGATTCAAATGATTACCAGCGTTAAAACACAGCAGCTTGAACAGCAAATAACATGCACCCTGGTGAACTGGGAGTTGTCAATAGCTACATGCGCCAAACACTTTATGGCAGATTTCCATACATGTAAAATAATACGGACCTTCAAACTATTGTATTGTTGCCCAGGAGTGGCTATCCAACGTTAGCTCTGGTCCGACGAACCAATCAAGAAACGCCTTGCTTGTTTATTGTGGTTGGCGACCTAACTGTAGTTGTTGGGTTACATGTAAATGTTACCTGTTCTGTTTGTTCCCGGCGTCCTCTGCACAATAGCTTGCACAGGGATCCGGGAGACATATATCGAAACTTTACCTGGACAGTGTATAGTCAATGAACCCCTTGTTCAATTATGTACTTAAAGTTAGATTGAATACCCGAACGAAAATGATGTCATAATACGTGCCGAGCTTTATGGCGTAACGCGAATGTTATTTGTTTTTACCAAATTCGACACCGTCATACATGAAAACAAAGCTTCACACATGACGATAATTTCTGGGCTGGGGAATTCAATCATGACCGTGACTAATTTCTTAATTATTTCAAAAACAGCTGAATCTTTACGTTCATTGGAAATTTAAAAAAATGCAAAATGTTATGCAATAATTATTGTTCAGAGGACATTTCCCATACAATAAAATGGATATAACCCAGATTAAAAAAAAACGAAAAAAAAAAAAAAATGAGACAAGCAACCTGTCATGAACTGACTCGTCGAGATCGAGAAAGTCACGTGATTTATTTTTGCTCCCTTCTCACCAGCAATTCACCGTTCATTTTGACACAGTCTCTCCATGTGACAGAGGAACGGTGACCATGGTTACAAAGAGACCAGAGAACAGTGTGTGCGATGACGGGATAGATCAAATACTATTTGAGGGAAAACACCAAGTCTCGTGGCTTTTTCGGTCTCAGCGAGATCTCGACGGCAGTTTCCGCTGAATGCCTGTTAGTGTTTAACTGTCCACTTTGCGCATTAGTCTACAAGCAGTGAACACAATTCTGTCGAGTGTTACTGCGAAACTATTGTCATGGAATTAGTCCTATTATTAGGATAGTTTCAGGAGAACACAAAAACAACACATTACAATCCCTTTGAAACCAATTTAAAAATAAATCCTGTCAGTTGATGTCATCACGCAAGCAAACGAAGAATGACAATGCGTTTATCCCTAGGAACTATTAATAAAACGTTCCAAAACTGACAAAATGGCGGCCATAATGTGGTTTAATTAAAACGGCAATTAAAACCAGTTTTAATTAATGAAGGACAAACTCGGCTATCATTACTTCAGTCAATAGTAATTTCTGTAAATGTTCTGGTTATTTGAAATTCCGAAGAACAACTTTGGTGTATCAGAACTAATTTCGAAGTTAAAGCGGGGGGAGTCGTCACCTGCGCATGCGTCAGATGGCTATGGCGTGTCAATGTTTACAAACAAGCGTCTACTCTCGAGTCTTTGCGTTTTTAGAGTGTGTTGTTATCGCCTGGGACTCAATTCCTATGCCTGCGCAGGTGACGACCCTCCTGCTTTAAAACGGCCGCCATAGCACAGGGTTAGATCTCACACCACTTTAAAAGAGCGAAATATTGTTAGGATTTGCTGAAACCACTCCAGTACTGTTCCGCCTTAAAGTTTCTCACCCCCAAAACACACACAAATAGCGCATTGAAGTACGCTATCGCATTTTAAAGCACACAATACAAAACAAATAATGGCTAACAAAAACCACACGAAAGTGACGCAATGTTCCTGAAATGTATAACACGTGGACTTCTCCTATGCCGTGTGCATGGGGAACACACTTCGGAAGAAATCATGATAACCCCTCTTGTTGATTCACAATCTGACATGACCCGAGGTCATGTAATGCAGTGGCGTACTGGCACGGGAACTTTACCAAAATTGCTTTGTTTTAACGCGCGGCAGTCGTCGTACCGCGTCTTGTTCGATATGGGACTCATAGCGACGTACACAACGCGTGTAAAATACATTTACAATTACAGTAACTATTATTACTGTGAGGGTATGCCTTTTTAACCATACGTATATAACAAACAATTCATACTTTGACTCAAAGCGCCACAGTCGTCGCGCAACTGATGTTCGAATTTCGCGTAAACAAACAAAATAATTAACACGCGTTGAATTCGTCGCGTGGGTCCTAAGACGGACACGGCGCGTCACGACGACTGTGACGCTCTAACTTTTATTCTCGATTGCGGAAACGTAATTAATAACTATTAACAGCAGCTGTTGTAAAATGGTTGAGAAAATACAAAATTGAAAAATAAACCGACATTTTAAAATATTATTCACCTGCTGCCGCTCAGCAACGGCGTTTTAAAATTATGAAAAATTACATGTTGTCACTGAGATTAGTAAAATGGAAACTTTAAGTGTCCCCTTTCGCCAGTTAACTTGAATATGTGAAACACATCGTATTACAATAATATTGTAAACAACACACTACATTTCTTGAGTAAGTTACGTAAATGCAAATAGTATTAATCAGTTGGCCTTTCGTGGAATATTGTTGCTTAGCAACGTCGTCGCTTAATACAGCGGGCGCACTGACAGAAGATGTCGGTGAAGTCGCCTGTAATTAACACTTCCGGGTTTCACTGTTACAGCCTTGTTCTCACAATTTTAGTTCACATATAAAACGTATCATCTCAATTAAAAAAAAAAAACTTATGTCAAGCACAATTGCAGTCAATAAATACAAATCAATTTTAAAATTATGTTATTTAAAAAAAACGCTGTGGGTATTTATCGAAATAATTATGAAACCAACATTGAACTTGATAATATACGGATATCAGAGTGGGTCACTGACTACACTAAACTTCCAACTAGAAACTGTAAAACTACAAACAGCATGCGCTTGTTGGCAAATCGGCGATAATAATTATACTTAAAATATCACACATCATTTCTAGTCAAATAAATGATTGGTGTACCAGTTCTATTGAAGGCATGGACTAAACCTGGTTCGTGTCGCGTCTGGAAGGAAAGTGAATTACAAAAAATCTATTCAAGATGTGCATATTCATACCACTGCAACTGTGGATATTTTGGCTCTTCCGGTTTCAGTTTTTTAGATTCAACCTTGGATCTTGAATCTAACTCAGTGTCCAGTTGTATTTGTGTCTCGTCGTGACATTCACTTTGCCGAGTGACCGTGGTCTTGTGCGATGACTGGACTCCCCTGGGGACATCCACTTGTAATGTTTGTGAGGCGGGTGGACTGTCATGCATTGGTTGTGAGATTTGTTTTTGTTTCGACACGGAATCGTCACTTCGCCGAAGGCACGGTTTCTCAGACTCGACATGTAGGCATGGTGATCGGATACCATTGGTCAAGTTATTTTTTTCTTTTGACCCAGAAACGCCGTTTGAAGACAATGACGAGCTAGCTGTGTTCGCACGTTTGGATGATTGACCCGATTGTTTCTCGGACAAGGGTCTGTCGTGATTTGTTTTTGTTATTTCATTGCCTTTTGTCTTCTTCGATATTGCACCCGGATTCCTCGGTATAGCTGATTCTCCTTTATCTAACTGACTCCTCATTCCAATCCTCTTGACAGGTTTTCCAATTTTCGCTCGACATGAGGTCGTCGTCGGCTTTTGGCGTTCGTTTACGCCTCTCAGAATTTCGGCCGGTTTCATTCCGTTTCTAGACATTTCCTTCCGGTCTCTAATAGCCATTTCTAGTTCAGGTAGTCTGTAATATCGAGCCTCGTTCTCCAGCAGTTCAAAATCTGCTCTCTTCAACTCAACGGGAACAATGAATTTTGTCGTGCGGAGAAAATAAAATATATATCGAAAGAGCTCACCACTTCTATCGATGACGACATTGCCATATTTGTCAGTCTTGTGACCATTAGTGGAACTCGCGAAACCAGCGTCAAACATGGCTGCCAGTTCCGAGTGCGGGTAGCGAGTCAAGAACGATACTGCCGTTATAAATATCCTGCCGCCGACGTTGAGTCCCACAATGTCATCCATCCATGGACCCAGCTTCACATATGCGCGGATGACAACAATAATTCTCGACTGGAATTAAAAAAAACGTCCACGATTAACGGTGAGTATTAACCATCTGTGTAATGTGTGTACATATGTTCTACTGCTGCAAGACTGTATGACGTGTATCACAAAGGTCATGACCCCAATATAAGGCGGACGCATCTCGCTGAGTGATTGCCAATCGAAGGGTTCAAACTCCAACCATTATCAATATATTGCACGCAGTCTGAATATGGGTATATGGGTATCCGTGATAAATATAGGGGGCTTGGGCAAATTGTTGAAATTAATGTATTAACATAGTATGCGTAATCAATGTCAATTGTTAAACTCACCCGGGCCTTTTTTTTGTGTTTCCTCTTTGCCCATGACCCCTCAAATAGTCTAATGGCCCACCCAGTTTGTAAATGGGGAGCTCCTTATTCCAATGGAAACACGCTCGGAAAGGTGCTGCACGTGAGAACACGTCCTTCACAATAGCATTGTAAACAACACAATGCATTTCTTGTGTAAATCACGTAAATGCTAATAATATTATTCAGTTGGTCTTAGAATGCCGTAATTAATGCATTTTCGATCAATGGGCCTCTTTCTCCTGGAATATTGTTGTTGCTTAGCAACGTCGTCGCTTAATACGGTAGGTGCACTGGCAGAAAATGTCGTTAAAGTCGCCTGCAATCAACACTTCCGGGTTTCACTATTACAGCCTTGTTCTCACAATTTTAGTTCACATATCAAATGTATCATCTATTATCTATTTTAAAATTATGTTTGAAAAAGCTCTGTGGGTATTATCCACATAATTGGCCTCAAACAGCCCTCTACCAGCCTACCCAGTTTGTAAATGGGGAGCTTTTTGTTGGTGAATATCCATTTGAAATTATGGGTTTGTGTATATGTGTGAG